GCTTCTCCTCTTAGGCTTTATAGCCACCCATGGCACTACATATAAATTGATAGGTGACTCATAAATCAGCTTATCAAGTGATTGTTATGTAATAGTTAAAAAGAATGATGGTGACTTACATGTGCCAATATGGGAAAAAAGTCCTAATTCCACTGTTAAATAATAAAAACAAATACTGATTCATTAGATACTATATGATGCTGTTTATGAAAATAAAATATCCTTCAATAGATAGATGATTGAGATAGATAGATAGCTGCATTTATAATTGTAAATATATAGGTATATTCACAAACTGTCTAGATCTATACTGCCCAATAAAAATATAACACAAGCAGCATATGCATTTTTAAATTTCCTAGTAGCCACATTTTAAAAAATAAATAAAAATCAGGTAAAACTAATTTTACCAAAAATTATATCTAGCCCAATATTTTATCATTTCAACAGGGAATCATTTTTTTAAAGAGTCAATGAGCTGTTTTATACCATTTTATTGTAACTATGTCTTTAAAATCTGGTGTGTATGGTATTGGTATAATAACAGAGACTCTGATCAATGGAATAGAATAGAGCACCCTGAAATCAACCCATGCACTTACTGCCATTTGATCTTCGACAAAGGCATCAAGTCTATTCACTGGGGTCGGGACTCCCTCTTCAGCAAAGGGTGCTGGGATAACTGGATATCCATTTGCAGGAGATTGAAACTAGACCCATACCTCTCACCATGTACTAAAATCAACTCAAAATGGATCAAGGATTTAAATATCTTGATTTCTTTGTCGCTTTTTCTACTACCATTGAGAACATTTAATCAATCATATAGTAGATATTCTCATTTAACCCTACTGTCCACTTCTCAGGGATCTTGCACAAAATCATTTACTAGCCCAAAATAGACAACCGTGGAATATTCAGAGAAACTACAATTAATGACTAATGAATTCTGCCATTTGCAGAAACGTGGATGAACTAAGAGAAAATCATGTTAAGTGAAATAAGCCAGGTATAGAAAGAGAAATACTTCATGTCCTCACACATGAATAGGAGCTGAAAAAAAGAAAGAACAAAAAAAAAAGAGAGAGAGAGAGAAAGAAAGGTACAACAATGATAATAATTCCTTGAACTTTTAAAAGAACACAAAAGACTCTGCCAGAGGTGGAAAAGGGGGAGGAGGAGAGAGGGTTAGTGAGAACTTGGCAAGGGCCACAAAAAATGATTATATTGTGTAATGTTGAATATACTAACTATCCTGATTTGAGAATCACATATTGCACACAGGTATTGATATTCAGTGCTGTACCCCACAGATATGTACCCTCTTTGGGATCTCTTCTGATTAGCTACAGAGAGAAACTTTCCATTCTTCTTGTCATTTTTTCATTCCTTAAATACTGGCTGTACGCCTACTATGTACCAGGCAGTTTGATAAATTCTGGGTTCCCAAAGCTGGAAATGATGCACTGGCCCCTGCCCTGATACAGTTTAGAGTCCAGTAGTTGAAGAGGCAGATAAAGAAGAGGACAATTAAATGACAAGATGGGGACATAGGGGAACATACAGAGACATATGGTGACATTCAGGGTGCACTGGGTGCTCTAAGCAGGGACACTTAATCCAAAAAGTATTTACATTGTGCAATTATAAAATTAAAAATAAAATAGAAGGCAATTAATGAAATGATTTTTGGAAATTTATTTTTCTTAACAGCTCTACAGGTTCTCTCTTTCCTTGCTTAGATCCCCTCTAGCTACAGGTTTCCCTGGGTGTTTCTCAAACTCTGGCTGAGATGGGGAGAGTGGGAGCGGGAAAACACACTAGCAGGAACAGGCAGAATCTAAAAATGGAGAGCAACAAAAGGTATCAGTAAAAGTTCTTCTCGAAGTTGTATAAGCCTTGAGTATCATGGCTTACAGCTGCCAGGATGAAAATATGTATGATCAATTTGTGTTTCAATTAAAAAATAAATTTAAAAAATCTTTTAAAAAATAGTTTTCCTACTCGGTAATCTGATTTCTGGAAATATTGAGGGTGGGCTTATTTGGGGTTAGGAGAAGATGAAAGAATGCACCTTGAATTTGTCCCAGAAAAACAAAATAAAACCATTCCAAGTAGAGAAAACATGGATAAAGGTGAGCAAAGCAGGTCTGCTGTCTGGGGGGGGAAGGAGTGCCTCTCCATCAAGCTCATGAGCAAAATCATTTGACTAATGAATCGTTCTGTGTGGTAATAAAGAAAGGCTTTTCCTCCTCTGAGTTTTCAAATTTGAGTTCTCAGGTGTTGCATACTTCCTTCACTCTGACTTCTGCACTCTCTTGTCTCAGGTGGTGTTCTTATTGGCTGGATTGGATGTATTGATCAAGGATTACCACTTTTTGGACACATTGCTCATCCTTATGCTGTTGGGCTGGTCTAATATTCCCTTCATATACCTGATAAGTTTCCTGTTTTCTAATAGTACCAGCGCCTACATCTTTCTCTTCATGTTCAGCCAATGTGCAGGGCTTTTTACTATGATTGTGGATATCATACTAAACACCATAGACGGTAAGTAAGACTTTCAAATAATTTCCCCTTCCCAGAGGCTTCCTGTGAATAAAGGAAAATGGGTTTGAAGATAAGAACATCATAAAGTTGTTTTGTTCTGGGATTCTGGGGAGAAAAAGCGCTTATGCTAGTTGTAAGTTAACAACCTTTTATTAAGTGCCATTAATATTATGGCATTATGAAAAAAAACATCATGGCATTATGTACAGTGCAATGCAAAACAAAATATGCCACTAACATTGTCACTAAACCAGTCCCCTTCCTTCAGGGACTTGTTTGCCCAGGATTTGTAGAATACTGATCATTATAATTTTCTTCTCTGATTATGATATTCAAGGAGAGATTTGCAACAATTACAAATAGTAATGTTTTAGAATACAGACTGCTGCTGCTCCTTTATGAAATCACCCTGTAAATATTAATTCAATCTGTGATAATAATTCAGGAAGCTTGATCTTGCAGAAACTGAGAGGAATAGGCTTCCAACCTATTTCCTGGCGTCTTGGCCTCCCACAAAAGAGGATATGGAAAAATCGGAAGCCTGTGCATTGCTGGTAAGAATGTAAAAATGATGTAGTTGCTGTGGAAAACAGTTTAGTAGTTTTTTAACAGATTAAACAGAGAATTACCATATGACCCTGCCACAGAATTGCCATATCTACTCCTAGGCATATAAAAGATATTTGTGCATCAATATTTATAGCAGCATTATTCCAAATAGCTAAAAGGTAGAAACAATCCAAATGTCTATCACCAGACGAATGAATACACAAAATGTGGTATGTACATACAATGGAATATTATTCAGCCATAAGCAATAATAAGTAATAAGTTTTTTATATATGCCAGTTACATCATGGATAAACCTTGAAAACATTATGCTAAGTGAAATAAGTCAGATATAGTACAAATATTGTATGATTCAACTAATATGAGGTACCTAGAATAGGCTAATTGAATTGAGTTAGACAGAAATAGAATAGAGGTTACTGGAGTCTAGGGGGACAAAAGTAGTAGCAGTTATTTTTTAATGAGTATAGAAATTTTGTTGGGAAGGATGAAAACATATTGGATACAAAAAGTGGTAATAGTTCCACAACATTATAAATGTATCTAATACCACTGAGTTGCATTCTTACAAGTGGTTAAAATGATAAATCTTATGTATATTTTACCACAATAAAAAAAGATATTTTAACAATTTTATAACAGTTATTTTTTGTAGATACATCAGTTTAAGAATGTCTCATTCATTTTCAAGTTTAAGAGTTTTTATAATGCATGGGTTTTGAATTTTAAGAAATAGTTTTTCTCTTGCATTAGTGAGCTGATCATATAGTTTTTCTTCTTTGTTTTAATGTGGAGATATTCACTATTTTTAAATTTTAAACTAATCCTGTATTTCTGTAATAATTAATCTTTGTTGTATTATCCCTTGTTATACATTTTAGATCTAAGTTGTTAATATTTTGTAAGGATGTTTTGTATTAATGTTCATTAGGCAAATTGACCTGTAATTTTCCTTTCTTAAAATATTCTTAGATTTTAGTATTTATCATTATTTTGGCCTCATACAAAAAGTTAGGAAATGTTCCCTTCTATTCACTAGATATTTTAAAATATAAGATTGTTGTTCATTAGGCAAATTGACCTGTAATTTTCCTTTCTTAAAATGTTCTTAGATTTTAGTATTTATCATTATTTTGGCCCCATACAAAAAGTTAGGAAATGTTCCCTTCTATTCACTAGATATTTTAAAATATAAGATTGGTGTTATTTCCACTTGAGTTTGGGAATGAGTCAAGGATGCTATCATTTCTATGTTCAACAAGACACTGGAGGTTTTATTCACTGCAATAGCAAGAAAATAATAAAGGTATAAGTATTGGAAAGGAAAAAGTAAAACTCATTATTTGCAGATGGCATTATTCTATACATAGAAAAGCTAAAATATTACAGAAAACCTCTGAGAATTAATAATGAATTTTGAAAGGTTAGTGAATACAATTAATATACAAAATAGATTTTCTTTAGAAAATAAAACAAGAGGATAAAGACTTAAAGTTGCATTTTAAGAGGGGTTAGGGAGAAATTGGGTAATGGACACAAAGAATAATTACAATTTGTAATGACAAACATGCTAATAATACTGATTTGATCATCACTCATTGTGCACAAATACTAATAGTCAATTCTGTACCCCATAAATGTACTACTTATAAATGTGGAGGACTTAGACCTATTCTCCCACACATAACAATTACAAACTATGGACACAATTTTAAAAATCTGAAGGCACTTCACAATAAACAAAAGTAGGAAGAAATTGGAAGAAAGTTCACACTTGGAATGAAAAAGTATTGTGTGAGTTTCCCATTTTTTTTGCTTTTGTCCTAGGACAGCCATAGTTTGGAGATGTAGGGTAGCTGAATTCTGATAGAAACTTGCAAGCTTAGGTTGAGAAATCAGAGGACATAATTTGAGACGATCACAGAGGCTTAGAAGTGGAAAAAAGGAGCACATCAAAAAGGGAATCTCCATATTTTCTATATAAAATATGCCCGTCTAGACCTCTGCTGACTCCCAGACCATGCAAGTGCAAGGGAGAATACAAGAATTCTAACAGAGAATAAAACATGTACTGATTTTTGAGTTTGATTTCAGTAAAATTAGCTGCTTGCTAAAGCAATTTACTCAGATGAAAATAAAAGAATCCAGAGCTGTGACAACATGACAGTCAAAATGTCCAGAATGCAATCCAAAGTTATTTGACATATAAGGAATGGAAAATGTGACTCATATTGAAGAGAAGAGAAAATAAAAAAACACAAATATTGGAATGAGGAGAAAAGGATTTTTTTTTTTTTTGTCTTTTTCCGTGTCCGGCAACGGATCGCAACCCTCAGTGTCGCCCCCGTACCGGACCGGGACCGGCAACAGGATCGCAACCCTCGGTGTTGCCCCCGCACCTCGCTCAGCCAGTGAGCAGGAACCGGTCTGTATGTGGGATCCAAACCCTCCACGGGAGCGCCGCCGCGCTTCCCAAGCGGCGCACTAGTGCAGTGCGCCACCTGGCCAGCCCAGAAGAAAAGGATTTTAAAACAGTTATTATAACTATGCTGAAGGTTGTAAAGGAAATGAATCTATTAATGAATGACAAAAGGAAATTTCACAGGGACATAGAAACTATAAATTGTTAAAATTGTAAAAGTAAAATAAAATATCACTGAATGGATTTCACAGCATTTTGGAAATTATATAATATACAAATACTTTGAAAAATGGCCAATTTGGATTATCCAATCAGAAGAATAGAAAGAAAAGAGAGATTGGAAAAAAAAGAATGAACAGAGCCTCATGACCTGTATGCCCATCTCAAAAAGTCTATCACATATGTAATGGAGATCCAGAACAAGAGGTGGAGAAGAACGGCAAATAAAGGTATTTGGAGATCTATGGATTAAAGTTTCCTCAATTTTGTTAAAGATAGAAAATTAAGACTGAAGGAGCTCGGTGAAACCCAAGCAGGATAAATACAATGAGCACCACATATGAGCTATTCAATTAACCCCCCGATAAAGTTAAGAAAGAAGGAATATATGAGCAAGTAATAAATAGGACAGACAAAAAACAAATAGAAAAGATCGGAAATAAATCTAAAAGTATCAATAACTACATTGAATATAAACTGTCTAATCATCCCAATTAATAGGCAGACGGTGTAATGTGGATTTTTTGCATGACTCAAGAGACACATTAAAGAGAGAGATTAAAAATTAACTATGAAACAGAGATAGTATTTTTAAAAAGTGTAAGAAACCTGAAATGACTGGATGAACTTCACAATCAGTAGTTGAATTTTTTTTTTTTTTTTGTCTTTTTTTATCTTTTTCCGTGTCCGGCAACGGATCGCAACCCTCAGTGTTGCCCCCGTACCGGACCGGGGACCGGCAACGGGATCGCAACCCTCGGTGCTGCTCCCGCGCCTCGCTCAGCCAGTGAGCGGGAACCGGTCTGTATGTGGGATCCGAACCCTCAGGCGGGAGCGCCGCCGCACCTCCTAAGCAGCGCACTTATCCAGTGCACCACCGGGCTGGCCCAGTAGTTGAATTTTTAACATGTCTTTCAATAACATGAATTACTAGGCAATAAATTCATTAAGGACAAAGAAGGTCCAAGCTGCTTAGTAAATGCCTTATTTAATTGACATGTACAGAACACTATATCCAACAACTACAGAATATAATTCTTCCTTTGTTATATAGAACATTCATCTAAATAAAACATTCTAGTTCATAAAATAATTCTCAATAAATTAAAAATTACTGAAATTATTTAGGGCTGATCCTTGACAAAAACGAAAATACATTAAAAATCAATTATATATATATATATATTATATATGTTTATACACATACCCACATATATACATACATACTGTTTGGTTGTTTGTTTTGTTTTGGTGAAAAGGGAAAGCAGCTTTATTCAGGAGCACTGGTAACCTGAGGAGACGGTAGGCTAGCCCATCTGAAAGGCTCAGCTTTACCGAGGATTTTGTTTTGTTTTGTGTTTTTGAAACATAATTGAATATACGTATTTGTGGGGAACAGAGTTGAATATCAAAACATGTGTGCAATATGTGACGCTCAAATCAGGATAGTTAGTGTATTTATTATTACAAATTAGTATATTCATCATTAGAAGTTAGTATATTCATCTTTACAGAACAATCATTCTTTGTGTCCATTAACCAATATTTCACTATCCACCCTCCCCTCCCTCTTTTCCACCTCTAGTAACCACAGTTCTGTTCTCTCCTTTTGAAATTTCATTGTATTATTGTGATTGTTGTTCCTTCTTTCAATAAGATATATTTTTAAGGCCTTCAAATGTTGGGTAATTAAACATTCCACTCCTAAATAACACATCATCACAGCAGAGTACCAAGAGAAATTTAAAAATTACTTGAATGTGACAATAAAATTCAGCATATCAACTTTTGGTAAAAGTTTAGCTTTAAATGGTTATGTTAGAAAAGATTAAAACATTAATTCTTGGAAAATATAAACAAAATTGATAAACCCTTAGATAAACCAACCAAGAAAAGAAAGAACACAAATTACTAATATCAGGAACAAAAGAGGAAACACTACCATAGATCCTCCAAACATTAAAAAGGCAATAATGGAATATCATGGACCACTTTATGCCAACAAATTCAACAACTTAGATGAAATGCAAAATTACTTTTAAAATGTGATATGCCTTGATTCTTGGTTAAATAGAAAATCCTACAATTACAGTTTTACTGCAAGGGATACCAATCAGGAAGGGTCAAACAGAAGAGAGGCATATGTCAAGGTAGGGGTGAGGTGGGGAGAGTGTGCAGAGTTTCCATGACCTCCGCAGGCATTCCTCCCTCTCACCACATTGACATGCTCAACTCAAAAGTTTCTTGAGCCTTGTGGTTTCAGGGTTTTAAATAGGCGTCATGTTGCCATGATTGATTAAGTCATTGGCTATGTGATTGAACTCTATTTCTGGTCCCTCTCCTCTCCCCAGAGGTAAGGGGATAGGGCTGAAGGTGCAAGCCTTTTAATTACCTGCTTGGTTTTTCACCTGTTGAGGATCACCAGCCTCATCCTCAGGCTATCTATGGGCTGCCACATGTCACCTCATTATTATAACCTTGGGTAAGGTTCAAAGAGATTCATTACAGGTACTAAAAGATACTCCTTATAGTGCATAAAATTTCAATTTTAGAAACTCTGTGTCAAGAATTGGGGACAAAGATCAAATATACTTTTTATTGTACCACATCTCCTATATACAAAAGAATCTGAATTTGTTATCAAAACTTCCCCAAGAAAACATTCCAAGCCCATATCATTTTGCTGGTACATTCTTATAAACTTTTAAGGGAAGAAACAACAATACTACACATAATCCTTCTGAAAATAAAGGAAGAGAGAACACTTCCCAACTCACTCCATGGTGTTAGTAAAAACTAACAGAACTGTATATTTGAAACTAGAAAAGTATACTCGTAAGTACCTAGACAAAGAAAAAATCAAAATGAAAATTAGGAAATATATGGAGCTGAACCAAGAAAAAATACTGTGCAACTAATTGGTACCTAAGATAAATTTATAGCTTTAAGTTACAACATTAGAGGGAAATGAATAGCTAAAAATTAACTACCCAAGAACCTAGTTTATCCAACAGAATAAGTCTAAGAAAAGTAGAAGGAATTATATAAGAAAGATTAGAGTAGAAGTTAAAGAAACAAAAATATGAGAGAATACCAAAAGAGCCAAAAATGTGTTCTTTGAAAGGATTATAACATTCACACAACTCTGGTAAGTTGATAAAGAAAAAAAAAAGTCCAAATAATGAGTATTAGGAATAAAATGGAAGCATAAATGCATACATTAGTTCAAAAAGATATGCTAGATAATTCTAAGGTAACACATTTAAAAATTTGGAATAATTAGATACAATTATGTAAAAAAAACCTTCCCAACACTTACTTAAAGAATTTTAAAATGTAAATGATCCTGTGCATCATTTGAGAAATTAAATCATTAGTTAAAACTCTTTCCAAAAAGAAAACTTTAGGTCTCTATTGCTACACTAGTAAGCTTTATGAAACATGCAAATTTTTTTTTAAAAGCATGTAATTCTCAAATAATGCCAACTCTTCTTGAGGACATGGTGAAAACAGCTTCTCTACTCATTCTGTGAAGTTAATATAACTTTGACTGCATAAATAGTTAAGAATATAGAAGAAAGGAGAATTATACACGAATATCATTCATAAATATATGATAAAATATTTTTTATCTCTTTCCCACTGTTGAGTCCCAGGCTAAATTCCTATCACAACTTTGCTTCTTTACTGATCATGTAGAATAAGAAATGTGAGAAATAATAAGTATTGGTTTCCTGTTCGCATTAGAAGACAGGAAGGCAGATCATGTGAACATCACTGTTCTCAAAATGATTTTCCAAAACTGTAATTATCAACACAAACTGCATTTTAAGACATCAGCGGTAGTATACTTGATGGCAAGAGACTAAAGTTTTGTGAGAATAGTATTGTGGCTTTGTAATTTTCTTAGTTTAATTTGATTAACTTGGGGAGATTTTGTTTTCCTGGGACAGTTTATTTCATATAAAGCATGTTAACGTTATCATCTTTTAAATCACAGGCATAAGATATAAAAACACGATACTTAATTCATTTATGCTGTTACCCATTTATAACCTTGGAATGAGCATAAGCAAGTACTGTGACATCCAACAGTTTAAGAAACTGTGTTCCTCCATGAATATTGTTTCTAACTCCACAGCTTGTAGTAAAGATGAGTATCTGGGGCTCTCCAAGGCTCATCAGAGATGCTAGTAACCGATTACCTGTTAACTAGTGGTCAATTCTTTGTTTTATCTGAATAACTCTGAAACATTGTTGTAAGTCTTTACAATAACACATCAAGCTATGTGCTATCTTCATCTTGAGGAAACTAAAGCTTACACAAATGTAAGTAACTTTCCCTATGTCACACAGTTTATACAAGACATAGCTGAGATTCAAAGCCTATTCAATACGTAAATGTACATATTTCATTTCTTTATTGGAAAGAATGTTCATGGTAAGTGTCTATATTGTAATTATACTGTATTTACATTTCTTTTATCCCTTTCCACCTGTACTGGATTGAATTGTGTCCCACCCACCCCCAAACTCACTGAAGGTCGAATTGTGTCCCCCAAGTTTTATGTATTAGAAACTTGGCCTTCACTGTGACTGTTAATAGGGTGGGAAATCCTATTATGGTAATTGAAAGATGGAGCCTTGAAGAGGTGATGGGATTGTAGCACTGGGCAATAGTGAATGGATTAATAATTGTGGGCAGGGGCGTGGTTCTGAGGACTTTAAAAAGAGTGTGAATGAGGAGGTTAGTCTCTCTGCTCTCTCTGCTTCCACCATCATGCAATGTGAGACCCCGGGTCACTGTTGCCGCCAGCAGGTGGACTTTGGACTTCCCAGCCTCAGAAACTGTAAGCAATAAATTTTGTTTTTCTTTATAAGTCACCCAGTTTCAAGTATTTTGTTATAAGCCACAGAAGTGGACTAATACACCCCCAATACAATAGTTTTTGAGGGAAGGTGCCAAATTAATGTTAAATTCTTCATTGTCTAATATGGGGTCTGGCATATAATAGATAAACAAATGTTTGTTGAATGAGTAGTTAAAGGTTGGAAGTAGTTATTTTGGTGGCAAAGAGTGCTAAAATGGAAAAGGGAACCAGAAATGAAGGCAGGAGAAAGGATAACAATATACTGAAGAGGAAGGATTGAACATTTGCTTTTACGTTGCAAATCCCTAATGGTAGCCCTGTGCCAATTACTGTATGTCTGCAGCATTTTCACATTAGTAAGGATGAGAAGATGTGGAAAGGGGATGGAAACTTATTGATAGTGTAAGCCAGGTTCTACATATTATAGTCGCTGATGCGTTCATGGGGCAGCACAGAATTCAAGCACTTTTACCCCAAATGCAGTCATACCAATAAACTTAAGTGGATGGGGTTCAGGGGAAAGATTGAGAGGAGAGAGATTACATGTAAAATCTAGTGAAATGAAAAGTCATGTTAAGATGTCAACCATGTGTGTTGTTTCCAAGCCCAGCACATGAAATATAGCCAAAACAGTTTAAAGAGTCAATGAGAGTGTAAGAGACATGAGGGATATGCCTTTAAAAGCCATAAGGTTTATAAATTCATAAAAGGGAATTAGGAAATTCAAAGCTTTTATTCTTCTCAATTTTAGCTTCAAATTTCCTAATTCCCTTTTATGAATTTATAAACCTTATGGCTTCTTTGGCATATCCCTAAATTGAGAGGAATAAAAAAAGAAATAGATAAATCCACAATTATTGTTGGTGATTTCAACACTCTTCTCTCAAAAGAATTGACAGAACGAAAAGTCAAAATCAGAAGGGAATTTTTTTTAAAAGAAAATAAATTTGAAAAAAAAATAAGAAGGGATATAAAAGGTTTGATTAATTCTTCAAACCAACTGGAACAAATTGACATTTTCAAAATGCTCCATCCAACAGCAGCAGAATATGTATTTTTTACAAGTGTAAGTGGAATATTATAAATATAGACCACAAAACAGATTGCCTCAATGAATTTAAAAGGTCTGAAATGACTGTATTTAATTTTTTTTATTAAAACATAGTTGATTGTAAATATCTGTGGGGTACAGCATTGAATATCAACACCTGTGTGCAATATGTGATGCTCAAATTAGGATAATTACTATATTCAACATTATGCACTATAATCAATTTTGTGGCCCTTTATTTATTTCTCGCTAACCCCCCTCTCCCTCCCCTTTTCCCACCTCTGGTAACCTCAGTTCTGTTCTCTCCTTTTTTCCAAAATACTTAAAAAACTAAAACTGCTTTACAGCAGTTGGAGTGCAGCTACAGATAAAATATAATGTATTTAAATTTTAAAACTGAACCAAAAATATTGCTACTTACATAGGTATTTTTAATTTGTTGTGTTATAATTAGGTGCATTTCCATATAACATTTTAATTTTAAAATTTTTTAAAGAAAAAAGGGAGAGTTTGTCATCTTCACATCTCTCATGAGCTTGCTGTTTTCCCTATCAGGAGTTCAGAACTTTGTAATTATTAACTCTTTCTTATAAGTCATTGGAACAAAAGTGTTAGCTCTTGGG